AAGAGGCTATGGTTGAGAACTTTAGGGAGAGGAGACACTTTTCTAATTCTGCACTCTCGTTGATCTATAGGTGTGGCTGATGTCTTCATGGGTTAGTTTGGAGTTAGGGTTTGAGGATGTTGGCCAGGTTGACAGAGGTTTAGGAGTACTCTCTGGCACTGGTGGTTAGTGGTCAGTTGCAAAGTTTGAATGTGTAAGAACCCAAAGGTGGTTTATTGGTGATTTGGGCCTGTGTAATTGGCTTACGGAGAGATAGTTTAAGTGGGTGGTGGTGTAATAATTGCTTGTAATAACATTATAGTGGTGACGGTTGGGCGAGATAGCCGACATGTTGCAGGAGAAGTAGAAAGATAAATGAGGAGTGAAAAAAGATGAGACAGAGAGAGATTTAGCCTCCCTCTCTTGTGGGAGCAGAGAGATGAGGATGGTATTCTCTAGTAGCAGACATTGGATGATTCATGTTGGAACTTATATGAAGAGGGATTGAGAGGGATTGGATGATTGAAAGGAAATTATGACGAGAATTTTTCCTATTTTAAGAAGGAAAGCATTTTGTGATACATGGTTTTGAAGCAGTAGCAAACTTTCTTCAAGTTTATGAACCAACTCGTGGTGTTTCTCCCCTAGGCGTTATAACCATAGTTATCCAAATCGCGTACCAAGGTCGCGATTCCAATTCGGAATCGCGATTCCGGGGTTCCCGAGACGAAACACGAATCTGGAAGATACGAATCCCATTTCCTAATTTCATAAAATGCATTTCAGATTATTTTTTAAATCTCGATTCTTGGAAGGTTGGAATCTAGATTCCATATCACAGAATCTACGATTCATAATTGCACAACAATGCGATTCAACATGTGCGAGATGTTTATTCCAATTATTTTTGAATCGCGAATCCATGTTGGAAGCGAGTTCCACATCGTAAAAAAGGTGTAGTTCTTAGATGCGCCGAACAATTATTCGATCAACATCAAATCAAGTTCTAATGACAATCAAATTTCAAATGCAAATATTGAATGAAATACGTTATATGTTGCGAGAGGAACTCCACGAACTGATTCTATGATACCAGAGGAGTTCCAGGAACCCTTTCGTATCATGTTACAATTTTGTACAAGGTTAAATACCCATGATCTGGATGAGGAGACTGTGATATTGTGAGCCAAAAAGCCTTAGTAAACTTTCGAGATGAATCCATATACAATAATTTCTGCCAAGTTACCCAATGGATTTATGAATCTATAAATCATGAAGTGGGTGGCAATCCCATCTCAGGGTAAGACGTTTGGGTGTCAGATCACCTCAAGCTCAGATGTTCATATAGGATGCTTGCAATAACCAAATGCTTATTTTTGATTATTTACTATACCAAGTGAATGATTATGTGGGGCATATTTGATAGGTGATTAACAAAATGCTTATTAATGATTATCTATGGTGCTAAGTAAAATGCTCATCACTCATTTTCTCAACTTAACTCCCTAAAAGAGTAAAAAAGAAAAAAGAAAGAAAAGGAAATGGGTTATTAGTGATCGAAATTCATGGCCATTTGCAATCTTTGGATTTTGAGGAAAATGCAGCATCTTGGTCTTTTAAGCTATTACCAAGCTAGGAATCATTTATAGTATCTACTTGGTTTTACATAGATAATTTGGGTCAAGCTATGGTATCATCTATGTCTATCCCGAATCATCTATGTCGTCATCATCATAGCCTTTCCTCAATCACCTATGTAAAACTTTAAATATTTTTTGTAAAACACTTCTCCTATAACTGAAGGGATGGGTGCACGATTCTTGAATTATGGGAATTTCGATTCCCAATCATTGGGGACAATGATTCTAGTAATGTAGGAATCACGATTCCTATTTCGGATCGCGATTCTAAAAGTCATTGAACTGTGTGGGGTCATGTGCGATTCCTGAAGTAGGAAACTCAATTCCAACATGATGGGGTACCGATTCCTACAAATAAGAGTCACAGTTCCTATTTTATTGGATCGCGATTTCGATTATTAGGAATCGCACCTCCGATGGTTTTCATTGTAGGGACGGCGATTCCGAGATCAGGAATCATCTAACACAAGTGATTCGGCGATTCCAATTCTTGAAACAAATCGGTATCACATGCATTTCCAACAAGTATAGTTTTAACTATTACTTTTTGGAAACAAGCTAAGGTGGTTAACTCAGTCAATCATTGCAATGCAATATAATGTACATTTCATAAGATATACTCATGTTTAATGCACCTTGTTATACAAGCAAATTGTAATTCATCCATGGAAGACCCTATTTATATGATTCTAAGGCATTGAAGAGCTTGTTTATCGCTGGATTAAGTAAGTGGAAAAGCAAAGTTGTTTATTTGATAGTTTGGTAGAAGTTCATTTTCACATTCTCATGTAGAAACAACTAACTGCTAAATGTATAATCCAGTCCCTTGGTGTATACTTTAAAATTATTATTAAGAGTGCCTATTAGACATCAATACATGCACATAAAAGCACAAAATTACAGCAAAGTGGGATTCATACCACCACCTCAAATTCACTTTTACAATTCAAAATAGAGAAGAAAAGACCTCATAGCCCACGCAATTTCCATTCGATTACACTAGTGAAGGAAGCATTCCAACAAGAGACAATAGGCTTCTCAAAATTCAGCACAATACAATTTCCATTACATTAACATACATTTTCAAATACATCAAAATTCGACCCAGTTGCTTTCCTTCACTTTACATGATCGATACAAACTGAGTACAACTTTGATGTGAAAGTATGAACTGTGGGAAGCTAAATCAATAATCATTTGCATGAGGTTATCCCCAGAGACTGATACGCCCAAGTACAAACTCTGCCTTTGATAGCATGGGGTTCTGGGGCTTCCTTCACTCTACAGATTGGAATCTTACATAGTAATAGGTCATTTTAGAATGCTTAGATCAGTGCGCACACAAATGACAATAGAGATCTTGATCACCCATTGACCCCCTCTATCGTTGTCTAGCTATCATTGATCAAGAGCTGGAAATTCACTCCATTATCTCCTAGTTCTCAAAACTTTAATTTCGCACCTAAATTTAAATGCAATTTAACTTAACTTTGCACTTGGGATAAATGAGATCATGACAAGGGGCTTGCAGGTGGGCTTTGTAATTTCCCATTAGCCCTAGGGTTTCAATTGAAATATCAAACCCTATGTCCCTTCTAGAAGATCAGCCCTAGTGTACGCATGTATAGTATAATTTTGCTTACACAACCAAACAGGTTCTTAAGAATAGTGACGACCTATGACATCATGCTGATGTCATCCTCATGTGGGTACTGTAGGGACCATGTGTGGGCCTCCTTTGGAGCTCATATGCAGCCTGTTGGCTACTTAGGCCTCACGTGTCCCACCTGTCCTCGATTGGAATTAAATCAACAATTTTCTAAGGCCATTTTGGTTAGAAAAATTATATAAAGTTTCCCTAAATATTTGAAAATCATTTTTCAACTTATTTTGTCAAAATGAATTTGTTTGGGCCATAAGAAATGTATTGGAGGTAAATTAGATACCTTGTGAATTTGAATTCCATAAAGCTGGGGCACTCCAATGGCCTACCACGAAATCCACAACCACTTTCTCATATGGTACCAATAGAAACCATGACCACAATCACAGTTGACCAGTAGATGGTGGAATTTGTTGATTTCGATGTATTGAATGTGCATCACTAAGGACAAGTTACTATGCACTTATGAATATAATCACAAGCAAATACACGAACCATGGTGCGAGGGTCCTCTCTCAACACATGTGCAAGGGTCTTCTCTCAACACATGTGCACATCCTTAATCCAGTAGATAACCTAGGAAGGGTGGCTTCCAATTTACACGCTTGTTATATGCATATGATGTAGGTTGGTTATAAATAAGTTGAGGCTTTGGCCCTTACCCTTACAAGCCATCAACCCATGGGGATATGCTTTCTCCCGACTCAAATCTCATGCAGATATCCTTTCTTTCGATCTCTTATGGGCACCCCTGTGTACTGGGCTTAGCCTCAGGTGTTTGGTTCTAGTATCACACCTACTACCTCGACTATGGGATGATCCCCAAACCCTCACAGTGACCCTCTAAGCCTATGAACCAAAACCTGGGGTTAGGGTTTTGTGATCAAGACACCACTTCCAGGCCCCAGACTGCCTAGGCGGTTCGGGTACCCATTTGGGTCCCACACTCCAACTCGAGTTTAAATCCACTATAAAATAGTGGGAGTTACATGGTGTCAAGGCCTTGAATAGCTAAAAAAAATCCAACCTAACTACACTGACCCCTGAGTATGCTTTTGTCGGTTGTACCGTCTAGTTAAAGAGTAAGGGTTCTTTCATGATTTCCAAGCATGACACCATCGCATGATGAATATGACATTTTCCTAGTGCAAGCTTGTTGTAACATGTAAATGTCAATTCTTGATAATGAATGCGCCTTTATGTACTAAAAGGAGAAGCATGGTGTGTGTACCTGCTATTGAACTAGCATATAGTTTCCTAGCCAAAAATATAAGCAGTACATTGTTGTGAACTCTCTATATATCCATGGTTTGTCAGGATCCAGATTTGAATTTGCCAATGTGATTTGGTGGGTGGATAAGCCCTTCTCTCTCGAATCATCAATACTATCTCTTATAATTTTTTTTACTGATGTTTAGCTGATCTCAGGATTGGTACAATGGGTGGGCAATCCAAAACCACTTCCAGGTTTTAAAGCCTTGGTTTGTGTGATTCTTGGAGTTAGATGACATATTCATGTTACTTCAATTCTCATGTGATAGTTTAAGTATATTAATTTGGAATACCTATGTAAAGAAGGGAATAATATATTGGCTATATTATCTCGGGTATTTTGATGTATTGTGTGGTATTTTGATATATTGACCAGTCTATGTAGAAATTGTATTTTCAGTAATAGTGTCATAAATTGAGTTATCGAGCTGAACATGTTTAAACAGGTTGTCCGTACAAAATATTTTGAGATGCCGCCATTGACTGTAGAAGAAGCTGTGCAGCAGTTGGAGAATGTCGATCATGATTTTTATGGTTTCCGCAATGATGAAACCGGTAAGTGGTTCCTTTTTACTTCCATTAATAACTGGAAGTTGGTTTCCCTTTTACTTGTGCTTATAGTGGTACTGCTCTCTGATTTTTTTCTAGGTGAAATAAATATTGTCTACAAAAGAAAAGCTGGAGGATATGGAGTAATTATTCCCAAGAACAATAACCAACAAATGAACCTCGAAACCGAAATTGGCAGCTCAGGGAGTGGACCTATGGTATCTGAATAGTAGTGTCTTGGGGATTTGGAGAACAGAGGGTTCAGTTTTCCTCTGGGTGTATTTGTTGTACATCTAGAGCATAATAATTGCCAGTTATAATTCATTTCTTTTGGTTTCATGTTCTTAAAGGTCTTCTCGATCAAGAACTGTTTGACAAATATACCTAAACAAGATTAAGCTAATGAAGAATTTCAGGTGAGGTTCCTTGTATCGATGTTTTGTGTTGGATTCCAGTGATAAAAAAATGGGCCATTTTAGGAGGAGCGTGCAACACCATGCTTCCAAATTTTGGCTTCACGTTCCTGTAACAAATATTGGAGGCCTGATTGGTGGATGAACTTGGTCTGCCACTCTCAAAAACTAGACCAATCAAACGTGCCTGAACAAATATTGGAGGCCTGATTGGTGGATGAACTTAGTCTGCCACTCTCAAAAACTTGACCAATCAAACGCGCCTGCCCTAAGGCTTGTTTTATCTTGTAAAGGTAATCTCTAGGCCATTTGTAATAAATGTATATTGAAAATTTTGATATTATGTGCCCTTTTCAAGGGTTACCAAAAACCTTAGAAAGGGGAAAACGTTTTCATTGATACGTTCTCTGTAAAGCTTGAGATAAGGAACTTTCAAAAAAACAGGTATGATGAACAAAGCATTAGTTTATGGTAGTGTTGCTATTCGGAAATCCTGTTTAGATTGGTGAATCGCCGATCAGGTTAGATGAATAGAATTAAAAACAAGTATCTCTTTTTGGCATTCAAGATGGTTAGGGGAAGGTTATTTGAGGGATTCTTTCCCGGAGCTCTTTGAAGGAGCATCAACCCCTAATGCTACAGTGGTAGATTTGGTTGAAAGGCGGGGTAGCCAGCTAGTGTGGAGCAGTAATTTTGTTTATAATAGAGTTCCGACTGGATTGTTTGATCAATTTCTGTTGTCGATGCATTATTTGGATTCGGTGTCTAAGAAATGGGGTTAGATGACTTAATCTTGGAATTGGAGAATTAGGGACACTTATTGGTCAAATCAGTTTATCGACTGCTTTTTAATGATAGCATAAAATGGTTGGACCATAACCTCCCTCGTATCTAATAATGATAAGTACCTCATAAAGTTCAAATTTTCATTTGGTTAGCAATGCAAGAGAAGATCATTACTATCAATAATCTTATTAAACGAGGTAAGGTACTGCCTTATGTGTGTTTGATGTGTAAAATTGATGATGAATGTGACACCCATTTGTTTTTGCATTGCTCCTTTGTAACCAAAATTTGGAATTGGTGCTTCTTGCAGTTGGATATGCCTTGGGTGATTCCAACTCATGTGTTTGACATTCTCACCCAATTTTCGTGTATAAACATTCCTAAAGTTGGCAAAGTGATTTGGATGATCTTGAGGGAGCTATTTTGTAGGAGGTGTGGAAGGAAAGAAATTGTAAAACTTTTGATGGAGGTTTGCTATCCTCTGATAAGGTTTTGAGTAACATTATTCATACCTCATGTAGTTGGTTCTCGATTACCAAAGATGAATGGGGAGTGTCAAAAATTGATGTACGGCTAAACCTCTAAAATCTTATCAAGTTGAGGAAGGTGAAGAGTCGTTCCAGATCTGTTTGGACCCCATTGCCTAGTGGATATTTCAAGATGAATTTTGATGGATGTTTTTTTGGCAATCCAGATGTGGCGGGTATTGGTGGATAGAGATTGTAATGGATCTTTCATTTTTGGTTTCCAGGTCCATGTGAATTAGCTACGGCTAATATGGCTGAGATGGCATCGTTATTACAAGGCTTTAAGCTTGGGTATGAGAAAAGTTAAGGGGTCACTTTTGTTTGATTGAAGGAGACTCTTTAAACTCTATTTTGTAGTGCAAGTGTGAACAAGGGTGCCATGGCAACTTCATCAGATTTGGGTGCAGATTATGGATCTTGTTACTATTATGGGGGTGCCTTGTCAACATATTTTTAGGGAAGGAAATGAGTTGACGATTCTTTGGTTAAGATAAAAGCAATGCTCGATGCTTTGGTTTTTTGTGATGATGTAAACTCTATTTTGTAACCACAGTTTTGATTAATAATAATTTTTGAATATTGTCAACAAAAAAAAAAGAAGAAGAAAAGAACAAATTCTCTGGTGGGTGAATCTGTCCATAATAATAAAAAATAATTTAAAAATTGCCTAGTTCTTTGCTAGACTCACTTGGTTCCTTGACAGCGCGAGTCTATGGGAACAGGATCGATTCCTGGTTCTGATGATGACCTTTAGTGTGGATCAATTTCTGATTCTTAAATCACCAGTTTATAATAATGTATAGATATTAATTAGACAGCCTTGCCGGCACCAAAACAGCTAACCACCTACCTAGCCCTAAAAATCAATTTTTAATGGATTCTAGCGCCCAAATACCTTTTGTAACCACCACCGCAGTTCCATTCTGGGATCAACAAATAGATTTGGGGCTGTTAAAATGGTGGAAATCTGATGGATCCATTGAAATGTATGGGATGTTGACTTTGTAATCAAGTTGGAGTATTTGCTTGTTTTCATATCATTTTTTCTTTGAGGGACAAATATACTATACTCCCTTGGGAGCATAATTCACATTTACTGTCACGATTTCACATTTACTCTCACGGTTAGAATACCTACTTGGGAGGATCTTTTCAATTAGAAATTTGGAAACTACCTAAGAATCACTAGACTATTCTCATCAGAAAAAAGTTTGAAATTTGGGCTTTCAAATATTTAGATCTCACCGTCTAAAAATTGGACGGTCTTTAATCAATCTCGAGACATTCTTTTCTTCAGGTGCCTAGAGGGTGTAATAAGAAAAATTTCAACTAAAGTTAATATATGGGCCGAATATAGGATTTCTGTAGTAATTAAAGGCCTTATGAGAGCATGTAATCAATTTCTAGTATAGTGGAACATAAATATAGGGGAGTGTGGTCCTTTGTGGACTATACTTGGCAAATACTATTCTCTGATACTCAAACTTAGCTTGATATGCTCAGCCAGTCGAATTGGACAACCCATGGTACATGGGCATAAAATTAAACAGATGAGGTTTTTGTGGGTTATCCCTTGATGAGGTCAAAGTTGACCAGATGAGTGAGCTGAGGACTGTATGACCCTTATTTGTGATGGTTGCACTTTAGAGGCGAGGGCCAAAGCCTCATTCTGGAACCATCGCAGAACTTGTATATATGATAGCTGTAATGGAAAGCGAACCACCTTCCAGGATGAAGTATGTATATGTGCGACAAATTACTCTTATGCACTATAGAGCTGTGATTGTACAAGGTCTAAGTGACATTTGTTTGTCTCTAAGGGAGAACTTGTAGTCCATAGACTGAGATTATGTTCTCTTACCTATTGGCTGACTTTGGTGGTCAAATCATCAACCCCTACAATGGTCAGTTGCTCATGGGAATCACTAGGCCAATTTGAAAAAGCAAGTGTGGATTATAGTCCACAGTAGAAGGTGGAGTGCTTCAGCGATTATATAATTCTTAGACCTTGTCCGATCCGATTCTTATCAAAATTATTTAGTTTTAATTATTTCGATAATATTTGATTTTCATATTGATTGTTTGAATGCCTTGACATTTTATAAATTAATCTCTTAATTTACAATTTTATAATTGTTTGAATCTCTTAACTTACAATTTTATAAATTAAGAGTTATTGATTTTTTAGTATTTAAATATTCAGAGGAAGTAATTTTTATTTCTAAAAATCTAAAAACCATTATTAATATTTTAATTAAACATATTTTGTATGGGGGCCCATATTGCTTAACACATGGTCACAGTGGGTGGCATGCCCCGTTCTGAGGGGCTTCACTTTCTAATTTTAATAGCCTTGGAATTCAAGGCATGCAATTAATTGCTGTGATAAGGAAACAATGTAACTGAAAGGAGGATTAAAATATTCAAAATGGAATGATTTGAAATTAAGAGGACTTGATTTCAATCAAAGAATCATGTATAAAAAAACTACAGAAAAATAAAATGTGATTGTGAATATTTTTCATATTTCAATATTTGATGGGATTAGATTTAGGAAGCTGGAGGAAAGGCTTTAGCACATTCTTTTGAATTATGATGGATGATCTAAAGAATGAATGACTTATATCTCTCATCCCACAAGTCTCTTATGATTAATGGTCTAAATTTGATCTCACTAAAGATGACAAACCTTGGAAACCCTAGCCTCTCTCTCTCTAAAGGGTCCCCTCTCTAATATTCTCTACACATCTCTCCCTTCTCTTAACTCTCTCTCTAGGGGGCATGCCCCACTTTAGGATCTCTCTTTCTCTAAGATCTTCTCTCTCCTCTCTCATAATATCTTAAGGGGGGGCCACGCCCCATCTAGAGTTGCTAAGAGGGGCATGTCCCATAGTCCATGAGATAAGGCTTAGGCCTTGGGCCATAATAGTTCCACATGCTCTCAAATTATGTAGGGTTTTGCCTTAAGCTTTCTCATATTTAGAAGATTCGAGATTGACCATTGATCCCGCGTAACATTGTAGGAGAAGACTCGGTGTCAAGTGTACTAAGCACGATTGAAGTAATCTCCGACATCTTTACTTTGTGCTTTTGTAATATTTCTTTCTTATGCCTTTCTTATTCCCAAAGCATCGTGTTTATTTATTTATATTGTATAAAGAAGTTGTATTTAGTGGTAACAAGTGAGGACCACTTTTATTTGTTTATTTGCTTATTTTCAATAGAATTTTATTGTACTTGGACTATTATAAGTGATCTAGCAGGTGAAAATAAGTAAAATTAAAAAGTACATACACCGTGCTAGATCACATTGTTCCCTTTCATTGGTATCAGAGCGAGATCTACTTGCTGCCCTATTTCTTTTAGTTCACTATTTTTTGTGAGTTGGGAATCAGATATAAGGAAGCCAATGACTTTTTTGGTCAAGTGATATACCTCAGGAAGAATTTTTGACACATTCAAACACAAAAAAGACACCCTGCAAAATCTTTTTGAAAATTTTTAGTAGGAGATCCTAGGGGAATTGGGAGTTATGGACTCATTAATGAAGGGTGTCAGTTTTGACCATACAAAATCCATAAATTGTCCATTGAGTTCTGTGACTTATTCTATCTTTTTAGATAAAATTGACTGTAACTCATAAAATTGAGTTAACTTTCAAACAAAAATAATTTCATAAAGATAAACCTAGTAGTTTGAAGGATA